TCCACGTCCCCATCCACTGTCCCCATCCTCCTCCTCCCTCCCTCCACGTCCCCATCCACTGTCCCCATCCTCCTCCTCCCTCCCTCCACGTCCCCATCTCTGCTCCCTCTCAACTCCTGGGCTCCCTCCTCTCCCAGCCCCTGCTCCCCACCACCCCCAGGACAAATCCCAGCCCCGTTCCAGGCGCGGGGGGTCCAAACTCATCCCCCCCCAGAGGCTTTGGGAGCCCCCTGCTCTTACCTGAGCTGCTGGTGCAGGGACGAGGTGAGGAAGGGATGAGAGGCAATGAGGATTTTGGGGACAGCAGCACTTTTATACCCTTTCTGCACACCCCACCTGGAGAAGAAGCCCCTCCCTGTCCCACAGCTCTGCCCGTTCATTTAATTCGCTGATGGCTTCTTCTTTTTTTTATTTATTTATTTTTTTTTTTTGCCTCCCCATTCCCCGGGCTCCTGGGGTGACTCACCTGATCCACGCTGGGATTGCCTCTCCTCATAGGTCGCCTTTCCTGTCCACGGAGGTTTAATTGCCGGCTCTGCCCGCGCGGGGCTGGGCTGGGGGAGCCGTGTGGGCGGCCCCGGTTTCCCCAGGTCAGGTTTGGTGTTGATCACACCCGGGGAGTGCTTTGGGTTCAGGGGGGAGATGATGTCTCACCCCTAAATCATCTCTCCAGAACGCCCTGGGGTTCTCCAGGCCTGCAACGCCCCCTAAAAACGGAGATGGGCCCAAAAACAGCTTTGGGAAAGGAGGAAACTCTTCTTTAGCAGGAATTCCCTCAGTGCTGGGAGCTGCTGAGAGGAATGTCCAGCGCCGTGTCCAGTGGCAGGAGGGGCTCCAGGGAAGGGAATGGAGCTGGGAAGGGGCTGGAGAATCCCTGAGGGAGCTGGGAAGGGGCTGGAGAATTCCTGAGGGAGCTGGGAAGGGGCTGGAGAATCCCTGAGGGAGCTGGGAAGGGGCTCAGGCTGGAGAAGAGGAGGCTCAAGCTGAACCTCTGGCTCTGCACAGCTGCCTGCCAGCAGGCTCAGGCTGGAATCAGGAATTTTTTTCTGGCTGGTCAGGCCCTCAAACCGGGCAGGTTTGGAGTCTCCATCCCTGGAGGTGTCCAAGGAAGGCCTGGCCATGACGCTCTGGGCTGGTGACAAGGTGGGGATCAGGCACAGCTTGGGCTCGATGGCCTTGGAGAGCTTTTCCAACCTCAGGGATTTTGGGGTTTGCCTGCATTTCCATGGGCTCGTTCCTCACCTCGGTGAAAACACGCTGGGGCCATGAGGAAACTCCAAGGTTTCCCTCCCGCCGCTGCCAGGAGGACCACAGGCAGCTGGAATTTTTATTTATTTTTTTTCTTTTTTTTTTGGAAGGAATAAACCCTGCCCTGGGTAGCGATCCACAATTAGCAAGGTGCTTAATTACGTGGTTGAGTCTCAGCCCTGGAACAATTCCGGATCAGCCGTCCTGGGGTTTTATTCCAGGTGCTGGGACACGCTCCGGTGCTGCCGGAGGAGGAATCCCAGGGGAGCCCTCGGCCCCTCACGGTGCTGCCAGACCCCCGGGACTTTCTCCAGAGCTGCAGGAACATTCATTTCGCATTTTTCCTGATCCCCAGTTAGCTCCTAATTGGCCAGTAAATCCCGGTGCTGTTCTGCACACGGAGAGCTCATGCGAGGCGATAATTTGGGATACTCCCTGTACCTTTCTGCTGCGTGGGCTGGGAATTCTTTAGGACCACGGAGCTTGCCTGGCCCCTTTCTGCTTATGGAAGACATTTCAGTCATCAAACAGGAAGCAAATAAAGGCTGAAATCCGGATTTTCCCATCTGGGAGCTGCTGTGGTTTTGTCGGTGTGAAAATGCTTGGGAAACACCGGGTGGAAAATCTTTCCCTTCCTCACGAGCTCTCCTGGTTTTGATTTTATTGAGGTTTTATGGTGACCACGGGGAGATGGAGGCTGAGAGGTTCCTGCCATCCAAAACCCACCCGCATTTGCTGGTACCCGAACACGGAGGATTTTGGGAAAGGTGGGAGGACAGGGCAGGTGAAGGAGCCAGGTGAGCAACCTGGAGCTTCTTTTGTGTTGCTAAACTTCTGGCAAGATCTAGAACAGCGTCAGGGCAAACTGTGCCGGGGTTTGGCTCCTTAATTGGGTTTTGTTCTGGCCTCAGCAGAAATGTGGTCAATGACCTCTGGGAAAAAAAAAAGACCGGGAGGAATTTTCGGCTCTTGGCATCTCCCCGAGTTCAGCTCCTCGTGTTTTAATTGCTCCAATTTGTTAACAATGGGCACCTCTACGTTTTGTGGTTGGCCACCTTCATGTGCCTGGAAAACGGGTTTGGAAATGGGGGGGCTCAAGGCAAATCCCAGAGTCGGAGCCATCCCTGCTCCGAAAACAGGGAGTGAGCTGCTGCCTGCACCCTTTTCAGCAATGCCAGAAATTTCTGATCCTCCTGACGCACTCGAGAACAATCTTATCACGGTAACATCCATTTCATGAATGGCAATACCGGAGCAATAAATTACCCAATTGGTTTTAATTACAAGTTGAGAATAAACGTAGCAGCTCCTTGTGTAAGCATCGAGCAACGCCCCTGGCACGACCCAGAGCTCTGGCAGGGCTGGGCACAGCGTTTCTAGAAAGGCTAGCTGGAGGTACCTCCCCCTAGGGCGGAGTTTTGGGGCCAAATGGCAAAAAAAATAATAAAAATGGGGGTTCTTTGTCTTTAGCATTTTTTTTTTTGGCTTAAAACCTCTCCCAAATTATGGATTGTGGCGGCTCAAATGTAGTCACAGACTGATCCCCACACAAGTGTGCCAGGGTGAGCAGAAAGTTTATTTCAGCATCCACAGAGCAGCTCAGGACAGGTTACAGGACAGGGGAGGGGAAGGAAGGGGAGGGACACATTTTCCTGGGAAATTGCGGGGAAATTTGCAAAGCTTTCGGGACGCGGCGCAGGATCCAGGACATCCCCGTGGATCACCCGCAGCGGATGGCGCCATCACTTCATCCTCGAGGATACTTGGTAGATTTGCTGCTGGCACTCCTGCGATGTGGCGTGGCAGGGTCCCCCGCTGCTCCCGTGGCACCCGGATCCGCCACTGCTCCCGTGGCACCCGGATCCACCGCTCCCGTGACACCCGGATCCGCCGCTCCCGTGGCATCCAGATCCGCCACTGCTTCCATGGCAGCCGGATCCGCTGCTCCCATGGCAGCTGGATCCGCCACTGCTCCTGTGGCAGCCGGATCCGCTGCTCCTGTGGCATCCGGACCCGCCGCTGCTCCCCTGGCAGCCGGATCCGCTGCTCCCCTGGCAGCAGGGCCGTTCCTGCTGGTAGCACTGGTCCTTGTCCTGGCGGGAGCACATGGCTGGAGACCTGCTGGGAAAACTGCTCCGTGAGTCAAGGCAGTGAGCAGGGACGATGGAAGTGTCCACGGCTGTGCTGGATGGGACTTGGAGCACCCTGAGCTGCTGGTGTGGTGTCCCGAATGTCAGCGATCTGTTGCTAAGGTCCCTTCTAACCGTCCCAACCCTCTGCACCATTCCGTGACCTCATAATTGTGTGGTTCCATGGTTTCTAAGCCAAGGTCTCCAACGGGAGCAGGGTTGTCACCTCTTTGGGTGAGAGCCCTTCTCTCATGCACCCAGGAGAAGTTAAAAGAGCTGGACAGACTCCAGAACAAGACACACAGAGTCCTCAGCCACCTGAGCCAGAAATTTTTACGTTTGTCTCCTCGGCAGAAGGACTGAGATGGAGACAGGACGTGGAAGAGAAGCACCCAAGAGCTCAGGGCTGGGGAGAACCTGGAGAGCATCAGAAGCGCAAAAGTCTGATGGGTCTGGACTCACCTGGAGCAGAAGGAGCTCGAGAGGAGATGCCGAGGAGCTGAGACGCTGAGGAGAAACGGCGAGCGCGGGCTTTTAAAGCCCAGCTTGGGCTTCTCCTCCGGAAACGAGATGGGGCCCCACTGGAGGGACCTGATTGCTCAGCACCCCGAGCACTCGGCTAATTGGGAGCTTTTGTGCGGCTGTTTTGACTGACGGAGCAGATCGATATCCTGACATTCCTCTTGTTACTCCATAAAAATGTTAATTGCCCACCACGCCTGGCCCGGTCGGGGCGCGGGGCTGGGGAGCGTTCGGGATGGATTTTGTCCCCTTTGTGGCGTTTTGTCCCTTGTGCCCGAACTGAGAAGGGACAGGTTTTAGGGGGTGGGAAGGTGGGATTGTGGGGTTGTAAAGGAAACCCAGAAATAAAAGGGAAAGGGAGCAAAAAAGGCCGTGGTGGTGGGCAGTAAAAACAAACATATTTGGACAGGGCGTATCATCAAAGAAACACCAAAAATTCTGAATAAAGTCAGTGAGGAGCACTAAAAGCAGTGTTGGTATTTTTCAAGCCAGGCATTTCTTTATTGAAAGGCTTTCAACCCAAATAGAAAGAATTTAAAGCCTCGTAGGATGCAGAAAATGTCCTGGAAGGAGTGGGAGGTCATCGGGATCTACGTCTTTAACGCTCTGATTTGGGGACAAAAGTGTCTTTTTGCTGGTGGAGAGCTCCAGGCCTGATCCCCTGCAGGACTCTAGAGGCCACTGTGATATTTCAAATAGCCTGGGTTGAAGTAAAATAAAACACAGACTCCAGGAGAATCCTTGGTCCCCACTGGAGCGGAATCGCCGGAATCGATAGATGGGGAAATCCCAGCGCGACTCGGGATATTTCACAAACGCTGGGAGAATGGAGATCCTTGTGAAACTCATTATTCACGATTAATTACAGCCCTGATTCCGTGGATGGGGATAAACCTGTTCCATCGTTCGCTTCGGCGATGGAGACAAACACCTGAGCAGGGCCCGGGGGCACCGGGGCCCACGTACGGGACAGGACTGTGCTGGCCCCACAGTCGGAGCCCGCGTCCCCTACAAAGCTCCCGTTCCTCAGAGAGGCATCCCCGGGTCCACTGACACCGTTCTGAGTGGGAAATGGCTTTTTTTGGGGGTAATTCCTTGGTTTTGTGAAGGAATTGCCTTTGCAGAGGTTGGCCAGGGAGGCTTGGGGCAGCGTCAGCAGCCCCCAGGTGTCCACCCCTAAAACCCCAACCCCGCACCTGCTTTTGCTTCTCCTCCTCATCCTGCAGGAGAAATCCCCCCCAGCAGCCCTGGGAAGCGGCTGGTTGTGCCGTGAGCCACATCCTGGCGCCAGGGGCGGGTGGAGGCCCTCACCTGGGTGAGGTGAGGTGCCAGGAGCCTCCGAGGATGCGGAGCTGTGACTCACAGCGGCTCCAGATCCCTGCTTTGCCCCACAGATCCTCCCAGGGGATTCCTCTCCCCACCCCACCAGACCCCAACAGGAATTTGGGGCCTTTCACCCTCTTAGAGCCATTCCCAAATCCTCTCCCTGCCTTTTTTTCCACCAGGACATTTTTTTGGGGAGGTTTATGGTGCAAATCCAGCCGTACCCATTTCCTCGTGCTCACACACAGACCCTCTGCTTCTTCCCTCTCTGACGAAATGTGGATTTTTCCTTACACAACCCTATTAATATTTAATTACCCTCTTGCACAAACACTCCGTGATGAAAACTGTTACTTTTCCAGCCAGGAAATCGCCTGGAGTGGGAACGAGGAGCCACCAGGTGGAACCAACCCCGAGCCTCCTTGCGAGGGCAGACGGGGCCGCTGCAAACCCAGCTTTGGCCACCAGAAGGACCAGAAACCGCTCGGATGGATGAAGAGGAGAAAAAAACAGGGGTGCGGGGGGGCTTGGAGCCAGCATTTTTTTTATTGCCTCCGCGTCTGCTGTGAAACGAGGCGAGGAGCACCCCAAACTTCACGGCGCTGAGCGGGTCACAGCTTCAGAGCGCGTTACAAGCGGAGGGGACAGAGCAGGGACGGGTGACAGCGTGGGGACAGGCGGGACAAGCTCCCCTTGTTTCCCCTCGCTCCTCACCGAGCCCTCGGTCCTTTATTTGATTTTCCGGGCTGGCACTTTGCAGATTTGCTTGTGCTGCTGGCTGGGGATGCCCTTGGAGACGGGCACACAGGTCTGCTGGACAGGAGGGGGACAGGGACGGGGACAGATCTGCACTGGTGGGGGACAGGGTGGGGGACAGCTCTGCACCGGGATGCTCTGCACCGGAGGGGGACAGGGACGGGGACAGCTCTGCACCGGGATGCTCTGCACGGGTTTCCCACAGCACGGTTTCCCACCCTGGGCCCCTGCCCCGTGGCACCTCTCGGAGCACACGGACCTCCCGTAGCCCTGGCAGCCCCCCGAGCCCCCGGAGCTGTACGTGGGCCTCCTGACACAGCCCGAGCCCCCTCCGTGGCACGAGCCCGAGGAGCTGGAGTAGCCCTGGCAGCGCTCGGAGCAGCGGGGCTGGCGGTAGCCGTAGTGGCGGTAGTCGTGGCCCCTCATGCCCTCGGCGCCCTCGCCGTGGCAGCCCGAGGAGCAGCAGTTGGCGTAGCCGTAGCGGAAGGGCGTGCGCCGCGTGTCCAGCCAGGATCCCGAGGGGTCGTACCAGGTGGAGTTCAGGTTGAAGTAGGATTCTCTTCCCGAGGAGTAAATCATGTTGGGGCTGTTGGGGGGGAAAAAAACCTGGGAAAGAGATGGGTTGGTGTTGGCATCTCCCCCGATTCCGTTTGATTTCCCATAAAACTGTGAGGGGTTCATCCTGAGAGCCTGGGTCCGGAGGAAATCCTTGTGGTTGCCCAACTCTGGTCAGATTACATCTGAATTGCATCCAAACCCTCTCTCTCTCCTTCCCTTCCCATTTTTTTTCACCTCCAGGAACAAAACCAACCCCAAGGCGTCACCACAAGGGGTGGCACTGCTGTAAATCCCACCCCCAGCTCCCTCCAGAGCTTCTCCCGTGGCTCTGGGGCAGAGCGTGGTGTGAAGGTCCCAGTGTGACCTCCCAAATCCCCTCATCCAGCTGAGTCTCACCAGTTCTCCAGCGAAGGCAGGCGCCGCCCGGGGGAGCAGAATGTGAGAGGCCAAAGGGGCCGAGGGCTTTTATAGAGCTCCGAGTGTTCCCCTGCACGTGAAACACGCAGCAGGAACGAGGATTAAATTATTTATGGGCAAAACATCTCCTCCATTTGGATGCTGTTCCCAGTGCCTGGCATGTTCTGCTTGACTCACGATTTCTGATAAGCATCTTTTAATTACAACATCGGTCCCCAGCGGGGCACATAAAAGACTGACATGGCCTGAGCCACACTTTGGCTGTGTGAGACAGGTCATAAAGGAGTTATTCACCCTCTCCAGGGGAGCAGGACACTGACGGGTGACCTGTGAGTCAGGAGCGGTGATGGCACCGCTCTGACCCTCCCCTCCTGCTGCCCGAGCAGCGTTTCCAGGTGAAGCACGAGCAGGTGATGGGAAGAGCCAGCTCAGAGTCACCGAAAGCCAATTGTGCCCCTTGGTTTGGGTGGTGGAGGGGTTGGGTCTGGGCATGAGGGGGAGAGGAGGACATGACACAGCTTTTCCAGGGAATTCCTGGCTGCTGCATTCCTGGAAGTGTCCAAGGCCAGGTTGGACAGGGATGGGATGGTGGAAGGCGTCCCTGAACGTGGGGGTTGGAGTGAGATGATCCCTAAGGTCCTTTCCAACCCCAACCAACCCACGGTTCTTTTTCTTCTCCATTTCTGCATTCCAGGCTTGCCCCTCACCTCATCCCCAAGATGTTTTTTTGAGGTCCCTCCCAACCCAGACCATTCCCCGATTCCATGGCTCCGAGTGTGACGATGGAGCTGCCCCAGCTCCTGATTTTTGGGGTTAAACTGGGCGGATGAACCAGGTGGAGGTGACGGAGTGGCTGATTCTGGTGCTGTTTAACACCTTCATTAAAACCCTGGATAATGGGATGGACTTGGAAAACCCTCAGGCGGCACCGAGCTGGGGCAAGAGGGGCTGGAACTGCTGAAGGAGCAGTCCTGTGGCTGGGATGGGGTGACTGGGATGCAGGGGCTGGAAAAGCAGCTTGGAACATAAACTGGACCAGGTCTGGCCTGGAAGTGAGGGCTGAGCTGGCCCTTGGTCTGTGGGCTCTGAGTCACCGCACCAGGAACTGGGAAAAGGCTGGGAAGAAAATCCCTAATAATAAAAAAAAAGGGTTTTCCTAAGGTAAATTTCACAGGTAAGTGTTTTTTTTAATTTGGCTAGAATTAGACCGGAGAAAAATAAATTGTTGTGGTGAAGAAAACGAGGATGGATTTCCTTTTTTCCCCTTCCCGGTCCTCCCTGTGGGTTGTGTGAGGACACGGCCGGGCCGCGCTGAGGCAACACAAAGAAATTAAATGATTTATTTTAATGCACTTTTGCGGGAGGCTTTTCTGGCGAAGTGAGGAGAAGGAACAGCTCACCCGTGCGCCTGCCAGAGCCTGGCCTGCTCCTTCCTGCAGGAGCGAAAAGGCATCCCCGGCACGCACAGCCACGCCTCGCGCGCTCATTATCATAATTAACATTTAAATCAGGATGCCCCCTGCTTCCATCCAGGGGATGAAGGTGCTGGCACGGTCACAGAGCAGATGTTGGTGCCTGGATCTGCCCATCCCGCCGTGGGGAAACCGGGCTGGAACCCTCCCGTGTGAGCCCCGATTCTGATTTAAATGAAATTAAATTCAATTTAAACGTGTTCCCTCGCCGGAGTTTTAATGGCTTTCAGCAGCTTCTCCTTGTGATGCTTGTGGGGGCAAGAAAGAGAGGAACCAAGGGGTTGCTCAGTATTTTCCAACTTTATTCTCGGATAAGCGGGGAGGGGGTAAAATTGGGGGAGTCCGTGATGCTCCCGCCGTCACAGTGGTTCCTTTTCCCCTCGAGAAGTCCTGGAGCTGCTTTCAAACAGCCTTGAAAGCGCAGAAGGCAAACCCGGGTGCCCCTCGGGAGGGGGAACACCCCTCCGCTGCTCCCCAGGGAAAACCAAAACCCGGGAATTTAAAGTGTCGGTGCTGGAGCCGAGCAGGGCACCCCAAATCCGATGTGCAAAGAGCAGCAAGGAGCCCGGAGCGGAGCTGGGAGCATCCTTTGGGCCCGGGGGCGAACCCAGGCAGCACCGGCAGGAGCTGGGGAGGGGTCCCGGCCTCAGTTCTTCACGCAGAGCGGCACCAGAGTGAGCTGCTTCTGCTGCTGCTGGTGGCCGGGATGCGGTGGCAGAGGGACAGCGGCCGGGCAGCAGCGCTGGACGGGCCGGGGGCAGCAGGGCAGGGGTCGGGGGCAGCTNGCCGGGCTGGGGCGGGCAGCCCTGGGGTGGGCTCTGGCAGGAGCCCTCGGTGTCGTGGCTGAGGCTGCCGGGGTGGTGGCAGCTCTCGGGGGTGGCGCTGGTGGAGCTGGGCCGTGTCCAGCCCTGGTGGCCCGAGGAGGGCTGGCACGGGTCCTGGTCGGTGCCGCCTTTCTGGTGCAGCATCCTGGGGGAGACACGGCGGAACCGGGCAGTTAGTGAGGGTGGAAAAGAATTGCGGGCTCATCCAGCCCAAGCTGGGATGGATCAGGGTTTCGCCCAGCCCGGAGTGCCGCGTCCAGGAATTCCTCGGACACCTCCAGGGGTGGGGACTCTCCAAACCTCCCTGGGCCGCTCTTTCCAGGAGGAAATTCCTCCTGTGTCCACCCCGAGCCTCCCGTGGCCGTTCCCTCTCCTCCTGTCGCTGTTCCCTGGGAGCAGAGCCCGATCCCCCCGGCTGTCCCCTCCTGCCAGGGAATTCTGCAGAGCCCAAAATCCCCCCTGAGCCTCCTTTTCTCCAGGCTGAGCCCCCCCAGCTCCTTCAGGAGCTGCTTCTCCCATGACTCACAAATCCTTTGAGAGTGACCAAGCCCTTGGGCATAAACAGCCTGGGAAAAAGAAAACAAAACACCGACGCCTTTTTTTTTTCTTTTTCTTTTTTTTTTTTTTTGCTATTTCCAAGGAAAAACGGAGGGATCTGAGAGGGCTGAGAGAATCCAACTCACCCTGCGAGCAGAAACGGCCGGGCTGAGCAGGGAGTCGGGGTTCCTGAGCACAGAGCTGCGGCTGGAAGCTTTTATAAGCGGCCGAGCTCTCCCGGGAATGAGACACGTCCTGGGAATTAATAGCTGAGCACTGAGGCCGCTGCCGTGTGTGTGTGTGTGTTTTGTTTCTGGCACTCGCTGCCGGATTAATCAGCCGCAATTAGCGCCGGGCCAGCTCTGCAGAGGCAGTGGCCATTATCCCATTAGTCCAGTGGCGTTAGTCAGACGGATCCTGGGATGCGGATACCTGGAATGCCGGGATGCTGAGTGATGCGCCCGAAAGGAGACCCTGCTGGCAGTGGGAAAACCACAGAAAACCCTCCCAGAGGAAGGGGAGGGAACCCAGGGCGGCCCCAGGAGGGCGAGGGGCAGCGGGCGCTGCTCCTGTGGGTGAGCGGGAGATGCGAATCCGGGATCCCTACGGGGGGATGGGATGGTGGGATGTTTATTCCCTGATTAAAATGGATTAATTCGCTCCCAATGGATTAATTCACCTCGGCCGAGTGAGTGGCTACGGCCAGGAAAAGCCTTTTATGTGTGGAAAGTCTGGAATGAGGACACGGGAGCAGCGATGACCTCACACAGAAGCAATTCCAGGCTTTGCCAAGCACCTTTCTGGCATTTTCGCTTTGATTCCCGTTCTGTGGGACTGCTCCATTTGGCATTTCTGTGGCCGAGACGTTTTTTAAGTACCAGGAAAATTCCCCGGAGCCCCCCGGGGTTCCAAAGGCATCTCCGTGTGGAGACTCTGTAAGGGATGCTCAGAGGTCTGGGTGGAATTTGGGTTTGAATCACTGGGAAAAGCATCCGCAGAATTCGGGGGTGCGGCTCCAGGGCTGTGCTGGCACCTGGCGGGGCTCTGCTGTCCTTTATTCCCCAGCCACAGGAGAAGTGGAATTGCCTGGCAGGGAGCCATGGGATTTGTGCGGAAAGATGAGAAAAACCTCGGGATCTGTAAGGGCCAAGCAGGATTTTGGGTTTAGAGCTCATTGCCAGAGTCCTGAGTTTTTTTTTGCTGGGTTTTTCATGTTAAAGGAGTTTTGGAGCCACTTCCTGAGGATTTCACAAATCCCCGAGTGTGAATATTGAATTTCTTATCTCGTCTCTTAAAATTTCCCACATTTTAATAGAACCCAGAGAAAACGACTCAGCGTTTCTGGGTCCTTCAGGCTTGGAACTAAACCTGATCAACCCTGGGCTAGTGGGAGGTGTCTCTGTCCATGGCAGGGCGCGGGATTGGATGAGTTTTGAAGTCCCTTCCAATCTGAACGATCCCAGTTTATTTAATCAGTTTAAGAACCCTCCTTTAAAGCTCAGGAATTTCTCTGGAAAGATTCCCATTAGGGAAAAAAGATCTTCACCTCTGGCTTCAGGACTTCAGAGGTGCTTTGGCTGCAAACGGGGTCCCAAATCAGCAGGAGGAGAACGGAATTAAACGATGCTCCTCTTGCCGAGGTGACATTTGTCACTTGCAAGCCCCATTCTCCCCCAGGTGAGCATCGGCCCAAGGAGTTCACCAGGTACACCGGGGCGTTGTCATCACAGAGCGACAAACATGCAAAATTAATTGCATTAATCAATTAGGCAAATGCTAAACACACCCCACACCGGAGCTACTGTTTAAGGGATAAAGCTAAATGAATAAACACAGCCCCGGAGTTTGCAGGATCAGAACTAACAAATTTTATTGTCTTTCATGGCTAATTGGGGATTAAAGAAAGAGAAGGGAGAAGGAGACACCGGCAGCATTGAACATCCCACACACCGAGAGGGAAAGGAAGAGCAGCGCCAGAAACTCGCTGGGCAGCGGCTTCAGGGCACAGCAAAGCACTCGGGCACTAAAGGCAGCAAAGAAGAGAAGTTCTGAGCGTCCAAGCAGTCAGAAGAAGCTTTTGGGATGGAATCCATATCCATATCCACCGCAGCAGCCGCCGCAGCAGCCGCTGTTGTTGTTGCTGCAGATGGTGTAGCAGCAGGACATGGGCATGCAGCAGGACTGCATGGGCATGCAGCAGGGGCTGCAGCACTGCATGGGGCTGCAGCACATGGGCGTCTTGCAGCAGCGGGGGCTGCTGTAGCAGCACACGGAGTAATTATTGCCGCCGCCGCATCCGCAGCATCCGTTGGGCATCTTGGAGGGTGGTGGGAGGCGGGGCTGGAAGGAGCAGAGAGAGGCTGTGAGTGGGAGCAGCAGGCTGGGCAATACGGGGTTAATTCAAAGCTCTGTCACATTTGGGGGTTCAAGAAGGGGAAAGCCGGGGGAGCCTGGTTTGTGAGTTGTGTCCCCGGCTCCGGGTTTCCCCGTTTTCAGGTGCCCAGCGAAGCGTTCCGGGGCACCCTTGGTGTCCTAGGAAGAGCAACCCAGCATGGGCCCTCACTCTGGGCCCTTCTGGAATATTCTCCGTCCTCCTCCCCTGCATGGCCCTGTTGATAGTCCCAGAGCCTCCCCGAAGGTTTCCAGCTCATCCCCGGAACTCCTCGTGTAGAGTTAGTAAAACCCCAACGTCCAAGCCCTGTCCCAGATCCCAGCAACACTTGGATCTGCTGTAAGACATCCAAAATTCCCTCTTGGGAGGCAAAGGAAGGGTTAGAGGCTCTCACTTACCCTGCTGAAGAGCGAGGAGAGGTGAAGAGAGGAGAAGACGAGCGAATGAAGCGAGCTGGGCCCGGAGCCCTTTTATACTCCCGGCCATCCTTCCCTCCTGGAAGTGAGACAGCCATTGACCATTCCAGCTTCCCTGTTTATCCATCCAAACCCATATTTTTTAGCCATATGTGTCGCCTGGAATTTGCATTTCGCCTCATTACTGGTGATCACCGCCCTTGTTCTGCCTCGTCATGGTTTAGCCTGCAGATAATCAAAGGGCTCCCATGAATTTGGATGAATTTGTCCTCCCCACAACCTTGTGAGGGAGCTAAAAAATGCGGCCTCATATCTGCTGGACGGAGATGTCCCGGGACTGAGTCAGCAGCAGCTGGTGCTGACTCAGTGCCGCAGCCGGAACCGAACCCCGGCGTGGTGCCGGCCGCTTCACGGGAATGGTGTTTGGAGCAAATTGGGATGATTTCAGGAGAATGGGGGTGTTTGTTCCCGGTCACTGGACACGCACGTGAGCGAGGAGTGTTTGGGATGTCTGGGGCTCAGTCACCCCGCACGTGACTCCGTGCAAATCCACTGCGGAATCCATTGGGTTGGAAAGGACCTTAAAGGTCACCCAATTCCACCCCGCTGCCACGGGCAGGGACACGTCCAGCTAGACCAGGCTGCTCAGAACTCCATCCAGCCTGTCCTTGGACACTTCCAGGTTTGGGAAGTTCTCGCTGTGTTTATTGATTTTTATTAGTAGCGGTATTTTTATTAATATTTCAGTTAAACGGTCGAGGGGCAGCCCTGCCTGTGCAGGATTGGTGGCTCTGGGATTGGGTGTGGTGCACCCCTAACCAACATTTCCCTCCTGCAGCTTTCCCTGAAGGGTCCTGGAATCCTGGCCGTGAGCAGGACCCCCCTGCCTGTCCCCCAGCAGGGAGGGAGGGGTTTGGAGCTGGGGCAGGACCCTCTGAGGGTGTTGGGAGGGGAGGGAGCCCAGGGTGAACCAGAGGGTGGGAAGGTTGAGCAGAACCTGCTCCTCACCGGGCTGGTGGAGCTGGGTGGGAGGCAGGGACTCAGGAAGAGGTTTTGTTGAGGTGAAACCATTTTCTGGGAGGGAGAGAAAGAGAGGAAGGCAGGGATGTCAAGGCAAGGCAGAGCCTTGGGCAGCTGAGCCCTGGCAGGAACACCGGGGAGGAATTTTGGGAGGAATTTTTTCACGGTCTGAAATTGCAGCTCTCCGCTGAGGACCTCGCCACATTATCCTGAGAGCTGCCTAATGAGAGGATGGTGATCCTGCCTGGCCAGTTCCCTGCTGCTGCCTGACATCCTCAGGGATCCCAGGGCTGCTCGGGAGAGGGGTCGGCCCAGGTGAGCTGGGACCAGCCCCGAGGACAGTGACAGGGACCTTGGTTTGCTCTCTGGGCAGCGCAAGGGGGAGCAGATTGAGATTTTAGAGCTGTTTCGTCCCTGCAGGAAATGCCAGCAGCTCCTTCCCAGCCTTCCCTGGCATGAGAGCAATTCCTGGAGCGAAATACTGGAGAAGCAACGCCGGTAATTGTGACTTCTCCGTGAGGGGCAGGAGAACACGCGCGGCATTTCCTTCCTGGTAAAGACAAATGCACTTGGGCAGTTCCATTTATTAATTTACAAGGAATTAATGGGGCAGAAGCAAAGGGACACACTCCACTCGTGCCTCCTGAGGGGTTTTTTTCCATTGGCAAGTCCTGTGGCTGTGAGCAGGGAGATGGAGGCGGGCGTTTCCCACCCAGGATGGTCGTGGCCAGCTCTTGGTGGAACCAAGGTAGCCAAGTCATTTCAGGGGAGTGGGATGTGGGTCACAACACAAACAAGGGACTGAAGCAGCATCAGAAAAGGGCATCAAATGCATCCAAAAGGCGGCAGAGCAGAATTTTCATGTTTTGGTACAGCCCCAACCGACCTTTGAAGGCAGCAGAAGTTTCTCAGCGTTTGTTTCACAGCTTCAGCTCAGAGTTTGGTAACTCAGTCTGGCAGAGGCAGAACCTCCATGTCCCGAGTGCCAGAGGCAGATCTTTGGCTGGCTGGAATCCATGGAGCTTCCCCAGCTGGGATGTGTCTGGGTCAGAGTCTTTCTGGAAACATTCCCATTTTTAGTGAGTTTATGAATTATTTTCATAGAATCAGAGACTGGTTTGGGTTGGAAGGGACCATAAAAATCCAATTATTCCACCCACTGCCATGGGCAGGGACACTTTTCACTATTCCAGGTGGCTCCAAGCCCTGTCCAACCTGGTCTTGGGCACTTCCAGGGATGGCACAACCAGAAATTCCCTGGAAAACCCATGCCAGGTCCTCACCACCCTCACAGGGAATGATTTCTTCCCAATATCTAGCCTCAGTTTCCCCTCAGTCAGTCTGACCCTTGTCCTGGCCCTGCAGTTCCTGATGAAAAGCCCCTCTCCAGCTTTCCTGGAGCCCCTGCAGAGCCTGGCAGGTGCTGTGGGGTCTCCACACAACATTTTCCCCTCCTTTTCTCTTCCTATTTCTCTGTTATTTTATCCTGAGAGGGCAAATATCGCTCCCAGAGGTGCCAGAAACTCCAGTTTGAATTAATTTACCAGGGATGCCCCGATTTTCTTCGTGAACACCTTGGAGACAGGAGAATCCCAACACCGGGGGAAAAAAACACCAGGAAAAGGCGAAAGATGCAGCAAAACCCTCTGGATCCACCAGCAAACAAACAGATCAACACCAGGAGGTTGCAGGGTCACAAACTACAGATTTTATTGGGTTTTGGGGTTTGTTTTTTTCAGGGAGATCGGGGCAAAACAGCGACGAAGGAGTGAAACATCCCACACACCGAGAGGAAAACGAAGAGCAGGACCAGCGCTCACGGCAGAAAGTCGCCGGGCCGCGGCTTCAGGGCACATCACAAGCACAAGGTGAGGGAAGGCAGAAGAAGAGGAGGGGTTCTACGGTCTCTGAGCACAGGAGCAGGAGCGTTCGGGGCGTTATCCACAGCCACATCCAAGAGGGAAGAAGCCGGGCGGGCTCAGTTGCCGCCGCAGCAGCCGCCGCTGCTGCCGCCACCGCAGCAGCCGCTGTTGTTGCTGCTGATGGTGTAGCAGCAGGACATGGGCATGCAGCAGGACTGCATGGGCATGCAGCAGGGGGTGCAGCAGGGGCTGCAGCACTGCATGGGGGTGCAGCACATGGGCCTCTTGCAGGTCTTGGGGCTGCTGTAGCAGCACACGGAGTAATTACTGCCACCGCCGCAGCATCCGTTGGGCATCTTGGTGATGGGAGTGGAGGCGAAGCTGGGAGGGAAAGAGAGAGTTTGTCTTTTTCTCTGCTTGGATCTCCCAGAAGGTGAGGCAACTTAAAGCCTTCTTATCCCCAAATCCATCCCAAACCGGCCAGGGATGTGCCTGCTGTCCTGAATCCCAGGACAGGCTCCCGTGCTTTTGGCATTTTGTCCAGCACTGGAATCCACCTCTGTGCAGCCCAAAACCAATCTCCGGTCCCCAAAACCAATCTGTGATCCCAAATCTTCTGCAGCGTGCTGCCCCAAACCAGACAGCCCAGAAAATCCTGGAGAAGCCCACGGAAACAGAGTCCCCAGGTAAAGACAAGCAGCAAATCCCAACTTACCCTGCTGAGCAGTGGAGGGAGGAGAGGAGAAGTCGAGATGATCGAATGAAGACCCCTGGGCTGGGGAGCCTTTTATACGCTCCAAAGCCTCCTCCCCTGGAAATGAGGCATCCCTCGGCAATTCCGACTCGGTGGGTCACCCCGGGGATCCCCTCACGTGCCTTCCTCCCGTGGTTAATCTCTGCCTCTTTCTGTTTGCTCACCACCTCAATCGTGCCCCATAATTACTCGTCCAGAGGAACAACAGATGCAAATTTTCTAATGGATTTGCGTTAATGGCACCGGAGGGAGGGAGCTCTGAGGAATTCCCATCCCTTCCCAAGGAATGACCTTGGGACACAGGGATGCTTAGCAATGTGCCTGGGGCGGGCCAGGTGCTGAAGCAGTGGGACAACCACGCCTGGAACTTGGAGCTGTCATTGCTCATGTGTCCCCTCTGCCCCTCTGGCCGGGGGCTCTGGGGGGTCAGTGGAAATTTTTGGTCAATGGGAATCCTTTTTTTCCTGCCTCTGTGGTAGAGATTTAGGCTGAATTTTCCCCTTTCTTGCTCTTGGGCCTCCCTTCAGGGTGCTGGGTCCTCACACTCCCTGTTTTTTTTAAAATTTTTGTCGTATTACTAAGATTTTTTTTATCATTTTCATCCATGGAATGGATGGGTTGAGTCTAAAGGAAGCGGCTCCCAAAGCAGCAGCGCACACGTGAGCGTTTTTCCCTGCGTTGGTTCCACACATCCCGTCTCCTGAGACTATCCCAAAGGCTTCTGAGACTGAGGACGCCTGTGGTGATCACGTTTGGGTGCTCACATGAGGAACCGTGGCCGCAGGCAGAGCGGGGACAGCTCCACGTTAGAAGATGTTGGTGGCGCATCCCTGTAAAAATTTGGGAATTCCAGGATGCTGAGGCAGCACCAATTTATGGCAAAAAAGAGGCTGCCATCACGTCCAGGAGACTCTGACTGTGAGGTTGACGTGGTGGCAGGTGATCCACAGGATCTGCCTCTCCAGGATGTGACCATGACCTCTTGTGATGTTGGGTGTCCCTTCTGGAATTGTCCCCAGGGGAGCATTGTTCTGGTCACCCAATAATAACCAAGAGTTGCCTGCAGGAAGCAACGTCCTCCTTGTGTAAACCCTCAAACATCTCCCCTGAATCAATCATTCATCACATTTTTATCGAGTTTTATTGTTGCCCTGTTGGCCAAGATGACCCCAGTGTTGTAGTTGTAGGAACACAGAATGATTTGGGTTGGAAGAAACCCCAAAAATCACCCAACCCTCCTGGATGGGCAGGGACACCTTCCACTATCCCAGCTTGTTTCAAGCCCCACCCAACCTGGCCTTGGACACTTCCAAGGGTGGGACACGCATGGAATACCCTGTTCCAGGGCATGGCCACCCTCACGGGGAAGGATTTCTTCCCAGTATCCCATCTAAACCCGTCTCTTCTCCAGGCTGAACCACTCTCAGCATTTACGACATTTTTCCCTGCTCTTCAATGCCCTTTAACCCGCACTTGGCTCAGAAATAACATCTGCACAAAGTTCCTTTCGTAGGCCACGCCCCATCCCGTGACGTCTCTGGAAAGATCCGTGGTGGATCCGTGAGTTTGAGCTGCAGGACCTTTGTGAATCTGTTCCTGCAGCTCTTCCAGTGTCAGGGTAAGGGCAGGTCGGATGGAGCTCTGGTCTGGCTGGAGGTGTCCCTGTCCTGCTGGAACGAGATGGTTTTGAACTCCCAACCCCTTCCATGATTCCCTGACTCAAAGATGGGATGAATATTCACAAGATTCCCTAAACAGGAAGAACTTTATAAAATGTTCTGACATGGTGCCTTGTGCCTGGTTTACAATAAACAAAATAAACAAAAACCCCTCCTGAAGACCCAAGCAATGTTTTCAGAAGAGTCAAACACGTAGAGAAGATGATTTTAATGCAGATGTCGTGTGTGAAGGTTGGAGGAAGCAAATCAAGCCAGAGCTCCAGGCATTTTCTCCAGACCTGCAATTCCCAGCCGAGTCCCGCATTTTAATAGCAAAGAAAGTCCCAGCCAGAGAAGGAAGGGATGGTTGACTCACGGGTTTGCTATTTTAGGAATGAGCCTTTTAAGTTGAATGCCAACCCCAGCTTTCATTCCTGGGCTCGTAGTCCAGGAACTCACAGGGGAAATGCTCTTCTCCCGTAAAAAATCAACGATTTCAGGGGGTTTCTAAGCTTTTATTTTTGGAAGATGGTGGTGGGAAGAAGATGCTGCCTGCTGTCCAGTGAGTAGTGAATTCCTCTTGGTACCTATTGGAATACCCCTTCCAAGACCAGGGATGGGCTCCTGTGCATCCCACAGCTGTCCACAGCTTCCTCCCGAGGGGCAGCTCCCATCTCTGCTCTGGGGCCGGGGACAGGACCTGAGGGAATGGCTGGAGCTGTGCCAGGGTTGGTCTAGATTGGGTATTTCTGGAAAGTTCCTCCCCAGAGGGTGGTGGGGCACTGACCAGGCCCCCCAGGATATGGCCTGAGGCTGCCAGAGCTCCAGGAGTGTTTGGGCACCTCTCTCAGGGACGAGGTGGGATTTTGGAGTGTCTGTGGAAGGGCAGGAGTTGGCCCAGGATCCAACGATCCTGGTGGATCCTTTCCAAGTCAGGATATTTGAGGATTCTCTGATTTATTGAGTGCTGCGTTCTCAACGGTGCAGTTATGCCTCTCTCAGTCCTTGCCCTTTAAGTTTTAATCACTTCAGCTTTCAGTTTTGTAGTAAAACCTGAGCTGAGGTGAATGATCAGGGGAGGCAAGAAGGGATCAAGGAATGGGAAGGACTTCAAAGCTCATCCCGTTCCTCCCCTTGCCATGAGACACCTCCCACCATCCCAGGCCACTCCCAGCCCCATCCAAATTGGCCTTGGACACTTCCAGGGATCCAGGGGCAGCCATAGCTTGACTGGGCACCCATTCCAGAGGATCAGGAATGCTCCACTTGCTTCAGACATCACCTGGTTTGTGCCAACAGCCCGGAGAGATCTTTGTGTCCCAAATGTTCTGCTGTGCCGCTGGGACACATCCAGGACCTTGGCCAAAGGCACAGAATGTGCCAGAACAAGGACAAACCCTGGGCAAAGTGACAAACCCTGGGCAACAAACCCTGGGCCAGGTGACAAATTAATGTCAAGGCCATGTAAGAACAACCCAAAGACCAAATGTTGTGTTTTGCTTGATGCTAAATTTTATTGCCTACAAATCAAGAGAGGAAAGGAAGAGTGATCACAGTGACACCGAAGGTTTCCCGAACACCCAAGAGGAGAATTAACACCCCACTAATATCTAATGCCTTATACAATAATGGGTGACAAATTCAGGTTGTACCCAAGGAAGTCAATAATTAAAGACAGTCAACAACTAAAGGACAGAAAGAAGCTGCAGCTTAAGCTGGAGAAGAAGAAGAAGAAGATCGTTGTGAATTGGCTCCATCATGATGAGAAGCAGAAGTAAACGAGCAGCTTTTCACCTCCTCCTGTGGAGCCCTCAGAGCCACCCGGGGTGAGCTCAGCAGCTCTTCTTGAGGCTGGCGCAGCACTGCTGGATGGGGATGCAGGGCGTGCAGTACTTCCTCACCGGGGTGCAGCAAACCATCACGGGCTTCTTCACCACGCAGGAGCAGCAGGACAGGGACCCGCAGGGGCAGCAGCAGGGCCGGGGGACACAGCACACCGACTTCTGGCACACCTTGGTGCAGCACACGGACTGGCACGGGTCACAGCAGGACTGGCACGGGTCACAGCATGGCTTCTGGCATGGGTCACAGCAGGACTGGCACGGGTCACAGCATGGCTTCTGGCACGGGTCACAGCAGGACTGGCATGGGTCACAGCATGGCTTCTGGCACGGGTCACAACAAGACTGGCATGGGTCACAGCATGGCTTCTGGCATGGGTCACAGCAGGACTGGCACGGGTCACAGCAAGGCTTCTGGCACGGGTCACAGCAGGACTGGCACGGGTCACAGCATGGCTTCTGGCACGGGTCACAACAAGACTGGCACGGGTCACAGCAAGGCTTCTGGCACGGGTCGCAGCAGCAGGATTGCTGGCACGGGGAGCAGCAGACGGTCTTGCAGGGGCTGCAGCACACCGTCTTGCAGGGGCTGCAGCACACCGTCTTGCAGGGGCTGCAGCACACCGTCTTGCAGGGGCTGCAGCACACGGTCTTGCTCTTCACGACAGAGCAGCATCCCGTGGAACAGCATCCAGTGGAGCACATGGTGTTGGGAGAGGAGCGAAGGGTGGCCGGAGCGAGGACCTGGAACACAAAGGACTCTGAGATCCAACCCATTTTTCCACACTGCCCAGGCCCACATCCCCATCCCACCTCGTATTTCTTTGCCTTGAGTTGGAAACCCAAGATCCTCGCAGGAATCAAACCAACTCTTGGATCTGTTGCTCTGTCCCAGAGATATTTGAATCCTCCTGGGAAGTGCCCGCACTGTGCTCATCCAGGACGTTCCCTCCCAGAATTTCCACCCTGAGCAGCCAATTTTCCACTCTCTCCACCTTTTCCAAGAGCCAACAGATCAACAGTCTCACAAAAATCTGGATTTCAGAGAGAGCTGCAGACCGTGGAACCCTGCAACCGTAGAACGCTAAGACCATGGAACTGTAAAACCTTGGAATCACAAACCCAGGGAATTACAAACCCCCGGAACCACAAATCCACAGAATCAAAGAGCACTTTGGGTCGGAAGACGCCTTTAAAGATCCATCCAGCCCAACGCTCTGCAGACATCAGACACAAAGACACAACCTCAATTCACCCAAAGCCAAATGAGATTCCCTGGTAGGAAACACTCACCGTTCTTGCTGAGAGCTGAAGGTGTGTGAGGAGCAGAGGCACCCGGAGACCTTTTATTGAGGTCGGAATTGTCCTGCCGGACATGAGGTACCCCCCAGCAATCCGTGATTTACGCACTAAGCCTGTACTTATTCACCCAATGGGCCTTCATGTGTTTAGTCTTTGCCTCGTGGCTTTTGACCAACCCCTCAATTTTGGGTTATTATCAATTTGTTGCGTGAATTTTTTACAATTTTTTAATGTCGAGTTAATTCTTGCGGGACGCTTGAAGGGGTTGTTTCTGCTCGCTTTGCATATGGCAAGGCTGCTGCGTGGAGATGATTAATTAACATAAAAATCCTAATTAAAATTCGAGGCGCAGTGGATTCCAGAGGTGTGCAGAAGCTTCTGGACGTCAGTCGCTCCTTGATATGATTTTTAAAATGGAATTGCAGGAAGTGCTTTGTGTCTGAATGCAGAAACGGTGGAGCCCAAAGCCCTTCTCTGGGGACCACCAGAAGGGCAAACCCAGAAAGTTCTGGATATCTCATCCCTTGCTGCCTCATTCTGTCCGTGCATGGGAAAACACATGCCCTTGGAACAGAATCATGGAATATTCCAGGCTGGAAGGGACCACCCAGTCCAACTCCTGGCCCTGCACAACCCCAACAATCCCACCCCGTGCCTGAGGTCGTTGTCCAAACTCTCCTTGAGCTCTGTCAGGCTCAAGGCCTCACCAATATCAGACGTTTTCACTGCAAATTCATTGTGGAAATTTGGAGTTGGTTTGGGGTGAAATCAGAGCCCGCGTTTTCCCGATTCCTCTTTGGTGCATTTAAACAAAATCAAGATGCAAAACCTCTCTGGAAGTTTTGCATCCTGTTTATGCTCGGCATAACTCGATCTGCAAAATTCCTATTCAATTCTTTTCAGATTCCAAGATGCCCTGGAGTAATGGAAGAGCCACCTACGGATGTTAATTCTGGAAAAACTCCGTGCTCAGCTCCCAGTCACCCGCTGGCAGTGATTAATGCCGATGCTAATGATCATGTTGTGATCAGTCATTAATGATGGATGTTAATATCTGTTTTGCATAAAAGCTCCGTGTGATGTCCTGAGCATCTCGAGGATCTCAAGTTGAATCACGGCTTTATTAAAAAATGATCTCTCTCCGGTCAGGTGAAATGTTTGGCGTCTGAGGTCACCCCCAGGGGAAGGGCTGCTCCTGCTGGGGGCACCGAAGGACCCCCACATCCCTGGCCACCCCTCCCTCCTGCTGGGGTGAAGGAGGGGAGATTTAGGGGAGATTCATCCAATTCTGGGTGTGGGGGGCACTTCCATCTGACTCCTGGTGGCACCAAGCCCCTGTTCCCCCGCTCTTGATGTTTGGCTACGTCACGTTTTGAACAGCTGGTCCTGCTCCCAAGAATTCACGGTGAACTCACCGCTTCTCCAGGCAAGGTCACCCCGAGGTCAACGGTCCTGCTCCCTCCAAGCTTAATTACTAATTGGCTTCAGCTGTGTTAATGATCTTCAGCCAGGCACTAATTGATTGAAACTTGATCCAGCTGGGCACGAGTGGATCATCAACAGTCCTACTCCTTCCAAGCTTAATTACTAATTGGCTTCAACTGTGTTAACGATCTTCTGCCAGGCACTAATTGGTGATTGAAACTCGATCCAGCTGGGCACGAGTGGATTGGTCAACGGTCCTACTCCCTCCAAGCTTAATTACTAATTGGCTTCAGCTGTGTTAACCATCTTGGGCCAAGCACTAATTGATTGACACTCGATCCAGCTGGGCACAAGTGGCTCGGTCAACGGCCAGGGGGGCTTGGGAGGATCTGAGGGACATTCCGGAGCCTGCGGATAACAGGTAGGGAACTCCAGCGTTGGAAATGTGGGATATCCTGGGCAGGGAGGTGAAGGACGGGGGATGAAGGAAGGGAGGTTTGCCAAAATGAGGCCGTTTCGTGTTGTCTTTGTGAGGATTTGGTGCACGGGTTCATCCGCTGCGCCAAAAAAATATCCCCACGTGGTGACAGTTGGATGTGAGCACCGGAGGGGTTTAAAGCTCTGCAAGGCGGGTTTGTAGATCCAACAGCGATTTTGCAGAGGAAAATATTCAAATTAGGGCCATAAAAAATTTCTCAGTTATGTTTTGCTTTGAGTGCAAGGACTTGTGTGGGTTCTGAAAGATGCCCAGAGGAGCAGAGCTTTTTTATTTCTTTATTTCTTTTAAATTTTTTTGGTTTGGATTGGAGCTCCAGGAAAGCAATCCTTGCCGGGAGACATCTGAGGCAAATTCCTCCCCATTAATCCAGTTTCCTCACAGTTTATCCCAGTTGTAGAATCGTTACTTGAGGTGTCTTTAGCGGAGCAGAAATGTCCCTTTAGGCGACCTGGAGTTCTCTTGCCAAATGTTTGTGGTTCTTCAAGGCCTCCCCACCCTCCCAGGGAACAGTTCCTTCTCCTAAAACTCCTCTCCATCACTCTAAAATAATTTCCCTGCAGTTGGTGAGGAAAAGTCCCTTTCCAGCTTCACTGGGGCCGATCCTGGGAGGGGCTCTGGGGTCTCCAGAGGCTGAACATTCCCAACATTCCCTGGCTCCATAGGGGAAAGGCTCCTTACCGATTTTATGACCCTCTCTGGGTTTGGAAATTAATTAAAATGTGCCATGGTCGGTGATTGAGGAGAAAGTTGGAAGTTGGGGCCGCAAAGTGAAAGTCTCTGCTTGAAGACCAAACCAGCGCTGGGGCCACCAAACCTCAGTAACCCAATTCCCACCTGCGGGGAGGGCAGGAATGAGTAAGAAAATCATTTTTTCCACCCTCGTGTGTGGCTGAGCCACCTCTTAGCAAGGGCAAGAACCCCCAGGCGAGTGAATCATTCCGTGCTCTCTGTCCCAGCTGCAACTTTTCCTTTTTAACCCATTCCTCTCTAATGAGCGTTTTCTCCGTAACCTATAAATAACTAATTCCAATTCCTTATTGACCAACCGGTCTTTTTGTGGCTGTTGCAGCACTCCGCTCATTCCAGGCTGTTTCCCACACCTGGGATGGGTGATGAGGGATGAGTCACGCAGGGGAAACCTTCACTCATTTTACGCTGCAGAAACTGGTTAATTGGGGCTGTTCCATGTTCCAAACCCTGCAGGATTCGGTTTTGTTTTGGTTCCAAAAATAGCAGCGGCTCTGAAAGCAGAAACACGTGGGGAAAACATGAACGCACAGGTCAGGCTGGAAACCCGACCCGCCGACATCTGCTGAGCCCAGGGCAAGGATTTGCTTCCCTCAGGAATTCACCCCATGTGCTCCTCCCAGCCCTGCAGGCGTTTTCCATGGATTTCATGTTTCCTTGGCATTCCTCCGGCTCCAGGGATTAAATTACGGTAGCAAACCCACAAGAAAACAGAGATGCCACCAGACCAGCACGGAATCCCAGAGAAACAAGGTCCCAGAGCGCCAAATCCAACCTGTGCCTGATGCCCAGCTCAGGGCACTGAGTGCCACCTCCAGGCTTTCCTTGGACACCTCCAGGGATGGCGACTCCAAACCTCACTGGGCAGCCCCTTCCAAGAACTGACCGCCCATTCCATGGGGAAATTCCTGCTGCTGTCCCACCTGAGCCTCCTGCCAGGGAGGTGTGGAGAGCAAGGTCCCCCCTGAGCCTCCTTTTTCCCAGGCTGAGCCCCTTTCCCAGCTCCCTTGGGAGTTTTCCAGACCTTTCTCCTGCTGCCCCAGCTCTGTTCCACACTCCAGCCCCTCAGTGTCCCTCCTGCCCATCGACCCGGCCTGTCTAATGGGGCAGTGACTGAAAACATCCAGGACTGCTCGTTTTGGCTTGAAACACCGTTTTTATTGTCGTGCTGGAGAACGAAGCAGCAAAGCGAGAAGGGGAACCATTCCCAGCGCTGGCAGAGGAAAGAAAAAACAGCTCAGAGCTCCTTAAACCGAGAGGTTTCACCCTAAAACCGCACCACTCCCGGCAGTTTTAGGAGGCTTTGCTTGGAGAAAAGTGACAAAGCTGCCCAGCCACGAGCACCGGGGTGAGCTGGAACATTCCAAGGCGGGAGCGATCCGGTGCATCCTGGAGCTGGATCCTGCCCTCAGTACTTGGGGTACGACGGTGGCAGCTTGCAGATGTTCTTGGTGACCTGGGGACAGACCGGGGGGCAATAACGCTGCACCGGGGGGCAATAACGCTGCACCGGGGGGCAATAAGGCTGCATTGGAGGGCAGTAGCGCTGCACGGGGGGGCAGCAGGGCGTCACGTAGCTGAACTTCTGCACGGGCTGCCTCTGGATGGTGTAGTGGCAGGAGGAGCTGGATCCGTGGCAGGAGGAGCGGGATCCGTGGCAGGAGGAGCTGGATCCGTGGCAGGAGGACTCGTAGTCGTGGCAAGACCCGCGGGAGCACATGGTCCTGGAGTTCTGTTTGGAGCAAGGGATCAACGCGGTGAGAGGAGGCTCTGATTCATTTCTTTTACTCCCCATCTTTTCTTTCGAATAATACTTTTTCTTGACACCTCCCATGGACTGTTTCTCTCCTTTTTTCACCTGCCTAACCCGGACCCATGGCCCCCTTGATCGTGCCGGCTCTGCTGGGCACTCTCTGGGAATTGTGGTGTGGAATCAGGTCCCTGTGAGTCAATTGGAGCCCCAGGAGCCCACCTGCCACGCCCCAGTTCCGGCAGGGTTTGTGTCCCCCAAGGATCCCTCCAGGGGCTGCACCCTTCTCCCTCCATCTTCCATTCCTCACCCCTCCCTCAGCGCACGCGCTTCCCTAAATCCCACGGGATCCATAAAAACCCCTCGTGGAGGCTTCCTGTCTTGTCAGCGAGAACAGAAATGGTGAAATTGGTCTTACCCTCTTCAGATGCAACGAGAAGTTTCTGGAAGCGAAGGCGAGCGACTGCGGAGGATGGGGCTGAGGGACCTTTTATACTCTCCCGAGGTTATCTGGGGTGTGAGGCACCTCCTTGCGATGACACTTTAATTAATTCTGCGTCCAATCCCGCAGATGTTTGCGCTTCCCCTGTTTTTAGGTGTTCCCTCCTTGACGCACCGGGCCCCGTCCTGTCGGTGATTCCTAATGCAGGGATTTTGGGAGGCAGTTCTCTCCCATTTCCTGGAGACTGACACTGATGTGACGGGTGTTAATTAGGGATGAGGGACAACCGGGGATTGCATCAGGCACAGAAAGGTCTCAGAAATGCTGACTCCTGGGGTTGGTCTCCCGCTGGGTGCAGGTGACAGCTCAGGGTTTTAATTCCCCTGTTGTTGAGTGCCAAGAGGAAATGGGATTACTGTCTGCAATTCCCGGGGATGGCACAACGCTGGAAAATCCAGAGGGATCTCCTCGGCTCCCTGGGATGGCAGGAAATAAAATGTTCCTGATTCTTCACTTGTCCCTCGACGTGGCAGATGACTGGGGTGATCCCATCAGGTGGTTCCGCGTGAATCACGCGTTATTAATGTGTAGGATCAGAGAAAAACACCTGACCCTGAGCTCTGTACGAGATTTGAGGATGTTAAATTTTCCCGTTCCTTGGTTTCTCTCTCCTTCTGTGTTCCCTCACATTTTTTTTCTGGTCACACTAAAGGATTCGGAGAAGAGGAGCTGAAGTTTGAGCAAATATTGGGATTTGTCTGCTGGAAGTTTGGGCACTCAAGCTGGATTTAGGACCCTGTTTGACTCAGAGTTTGAAGGGTAAGAAAAAAAGCACCCCAAAACCATCTCAGAATCCTTCAGATTCACGGCCTGCTCAGGAAAACGGAATCTCAGAAGAGTTCCCATCCTCTGCTCAGTTTTCCTTCACAGGAATTCTTGTTTTCAGAGGCTCAAAGGCTTTCAGATATTTGAAAATTCGTATCCAAGGTCTGAAATAGCTCAGAGTTAAGTTATGACATATTGAGAGGGAGCTGTGGCCTACTTTTCCCCCTTCCATTTAATTTCCTGGGATCACTGAGGTTGGAAAAGCCCTCCAAGATCATCGAGTCCAATTTTTGGCCATCTCCCCCTTTCCTTTGCTGATGTGTCTTCTGTTCTCAAATGAACGTGGGGATTATTTGCCACCAAACACTGGGGTATTTTGGAAATACAAAGAAATTTGAAT